CTACTATCAACAAAAGGGAGGACTGAAAAATGAATTCAGAATAGCAAAACAATCTAATGAATTCTAGTACAGTGGACCCTCAAGTTATGACTGGCCTGACATATGAACAACTTTGGCTAATTAGGTTAACAGAAGATTCATCTGCCTCTTGTTATCTATAGCGTGTACCCAGGTAAACATCCACATCTCAGCTGCATTGACTTACAACTAAATTTGAGCTACAACCAGCCCTAGGGAACTGATTAAGTTCATAAGTCAGGGGTCTGCTGTAATTACTTTTACCCATTAAATATTCTGAGTGTTAAATAAATCCAGTCTTTCTCTGAAATGAACTTGGAAAGAGAACTGTGCTATTTATTTAATGTTATTTAATGCAGCTCCTAGGGAAAGCAGCTTCATGCTCTCTCTTGGCCCCATAAGCACAGGCCTTGGTTCTGGAATACTTCCTACTGAGAGATGTGGGGGCCTTGTAGGCCTGCTGGACACATCACCTGTGAGAACAGGTTTCCCTATTTCAGTGTCAATCTGCACTCCTTCGTTCTGCTTACAAAATGCAAATACGGCATGTGACCAATTCCATTAGTACAGCTGTTTCCTGTAGAGAGGGAATTAGGTCCTTCACTTGTAGGAGCGTGAGAGGGCAGGCCAGTCAGCTCATATCAGTTGCAGGAATGAATCCACTGCAACTGGACAGAAATCTCCCATTGCAGCTGATCTTGTTGCATCTTCTCTGTGAGTACAGCCTTATTCCATGCAGTGCTTGATTGTGTTGTGTGATTTTTGGTGACTTCAGTACTAGCATGCAGTAGACAGAAATACTCAAACTTGTACTTCTGAAAACAGGTACCAGATGCCACTTGCTCAAATTGTACCACTGAAAATAATAATAAAATAAACATAAGTAATAAAGAGTAACAATAATAAAATCTCATGTTTTAGTAAAAAAAAAATTAATATGGTTCTGTGCTTTTCCAGTTGGACATGCTCACTAAGTGGCTACCTATCTGCTCCCAGTATTTTGAGACAAAAACTTCAAAAAGTCACATTTCCTGTGTTATATTGCTTTAATTATGAAAATACTTTTCTACTGAACTCACATTTAGTTCTGTACCCCTGATTCTTAGATCAGCCACGTGTACCAAAAGCAAAATGTTTCTGATATTTAGTTCATAAATGAACATTTTTTGTTTTAACTTCTCCAACATTTTTACCTTACCCTCATGAATCATAACTCTTTGGTTGAAACATTGTGCTTGTGACTACTGCCTTCATAATAAATAGCCAAGAAATAAAGAAAAGCAAATTATTTAGCTAAAACAAACAAAATTAGGAGATAAAAGTCAAAGAATTCTGTTTTTTTGTTTTTTTCTGGAAGGAACTTCATTTTTATTGATTTTGGATAGTGTAATCTTAAGACTATTAAAGAGAAGCAAGATAATAAATATAGAGTGGTAAAATAATAATTAACGATAGGTGTAAAATTAGTGTGGAGTAGCAGTATGATCACCTTTGTTATTCCGGGGTAGATGTACATTTACTATGATGAATTAATTCAGCAATATCAAGTGCTTAGCCCTTACTACATTCTCTACTGAAATAAAATAATTCAATAAACTTGCTGAAGGAACACAAATGCTTTGAAAGGGAAGTTTTAATTTAATGAATAGTTTCATAATTTTGTTATTTCTATGTATGAGAAACTTTTAAACACTATTTTCCTCTTAATAATAGCCTAAACTAAATCAATTTGGTAAATGTGTGTGTGTGTGTGTGTGTGTGTGTGTGTGTGATTTCAAAGACATGTTTCAAAATGGTGAAAGAAAACACAGTTGGGCTAATCATTGGTTAAAACTTTTTGTAGTTTTGTTGGAGGGAAGGAGCAGAAAAGGAGGAAGAGAAGGAGAAAAATGATTTATTCTTAAACTGACACATACAAATAAATTAGACTAAAAACAGTAATCACAATTCAAGAACTTTCTCCTCAATGCATGAAATGCAAAGCTTGTATCGGGAGGCTAGGATATTGGTAAAGGTGATGTGGCATGGCTCTTAGGTAATTTCTGAGGGATCACTCAGAGGAGTAATTTGTTTGAATTTGTTTTGAATGTCCTTGTTAAGATGTGTGATGAGAGTCATACAATTTAAGCCACAACCTAACATTTTTGTCTTGTTTTTACTCTATTTTGCCTAAATGAAAACTTGTTTTGTTGTTCTACTTATAGCTTAAGAGACAGGTACTGATTTGTTGCATAGCATGTTGTCTGAGGATAAAGGATGCTAATCATTTACTGTGCCTTCCCTTTGAGTCCTAAGCGATTGTGATATTAACATAGGTATCTTGCAAATGAAAAGTAACTGGTGCCTATGGCTAGAGCAAAGCATCTCTACCCTGCTTCTTAGTGAAAGATGAGCAGGGCCTCAGAAAACAGTTCTCAATACTAAGCTATATCATATTCACAGGGAGAGAGGTTAGACTTTATAGAAAGACAGTCTCTCTAGTGTGCTATCCTACTTTATGTGGGGCAGAGGGATTTTCCAGGTGTGGACAAAATTTATTCTCTTGGATTCTTGCAGTTACATTCCCTGTGCCATGACATGCCATTTGTTGAATTCCTATGCACATGAAATAACAGTCTTGGCTTAAAAGTGAAATATAAACCCTGATAATTATTATTTTCTTATTATTTGTCTCTACTGCAGATGAGAGAAAACATAGTGTCCATATTAGCAAGATGAGTTTCCATCCAGGTTACAGGTTTTTAAATTGGTTACTGAGTTAGTAAATGTACACAACTCATCTTAATTATTTGTTTTTGCTCCCTCCCTCTCCTCTCCCTCCTTGCTCCTTCCAACTCTTGGTCCCTTTCCCATTTGTAAAAGCTCTATTTTCCTCTTATCTTCAATTATTTTTCCATTCTAGTTCCCTCCCTTTCCTCCCCCTCCCTCAATCTCTTGTTCCTCCATCCATTTGACAAAGATTTCCCTACTTCCTGTTTATCTTTTAGAGAGAGAGAGAGAGAGAGAGAGAGATTCTCATATAAGAGAAACCATGAAACCATGTGATATTGAAGCTTGCATATCTAACTTCGCTTAGTATGGTGCTCTCAAGGAGTGTCCATTTACTTAGGAATGCCTGAAGTTTATCTTTATGGCAGAGTAGTACTTCATTGTGTATAAATATCATGATAAATGTAATATTCATGAGCTGCAAACATAATAAAAATTTAAAAATAAAAAATCACATTGGTGTGATTTAGAAAAAAATCTGATTAATGACAAAAAACTTTGAATAAAAGTTTCTTATTCTTTTTTTGCTTAAATTCTTTTATTGGTACATTTTAAGTATACAATACTTTTACATTTACCATCAGGTGCTTGTACCTATACATGATGTATCTTGGTTCTTATTTTTTCCCCATTACCTGTGCGCCCTTCCCTATTTACATAGACTTTGTTTCCATTTTTTTCTTTTCTCATAATTTTTCCTTTCC